CCTTAGAGCCAAGATTGATAAATTAGAAGATCCAGACAGTAGTAAAGAAAAAAATATATGAACAAAAGATGCAAGATCTCTGCAACACAATTAAAACAAATCCATGTATTTAAGGTGTAAAGAACATCTTAGAATGACATGTTTCAAGGCCTGAAAGAAAAAATCTACAATCCTAGGTTACTCTATTGAGTAAGGTTATTGAAGAATAAATAAAGAACTCACAAGATTAGCATTAAACCCAAGGAATTCATGATCATGAATTGCAAACAATATTTAAAAGGCTGCTATACAAAATAAGGAGATAAAGACAAGCTTAAGAGCACAGGAAAGAATAAATTCCAGTAAGAATATAAGAAACAAGAAACAGGGGAAAAAATTAGAAAGACAACAAAATGTCAGGGACCAGTATGCACCAGTAAAGCAAATGATTTTAATGTGCTAATCAAAAGATAGTGACTAGCTAACTGGGTGAAAATAAGACCCAACTGTTCGCTACCTGCAAGCAATGCACTTCAAAGGCATTTGTACATTTATACAGAGATACTGAAAGTGGAAAGAAGGAAATTATTCTCTAATTAGAGTCTAGAAAGAAGCATGAGTAACTGTTGACATCTCCAACAAAGTAGATGTCATTCCAAAGTTAGAAGAGAAAAGGAGGGTCACCACATTCTAGTAAAGTAAATTAAGAAGCTATAGGGATTGTAAGTATGCGTGTACTGAATATTGATGCACCAGATGTCATAAAACAATCATTAGTGGACATAAATTGACTGATAGGCTCCAGGACTCAATAAAAATGATGATTCCAGCTGGGCGGTGGTGGCTCACGCCTTTAATCCCAGCACTCGGGAGGCAGAGGCAGGCGGATCTCTGTGAGTTCGAGGCCAGCCTGGTCTCCAAAGCGAGTTCCAGGAAAGGCGCAAAGCTACACAGAGAAACCCTGTCTCGAAAAAAACAAAAAAATAAAAAATAAAAAAAATAAAAAAAAATGATGATTCCAGTGCACACTGTCAAAATCCAGATAAAAAATCAACAAAGAAACTTTGGAGTTTAAATTAAACTAACCTAAACTATGAATCAAATGGATTTAACAGGTATATACAGAATGGACTGCCCAAAAATTGCAAAATACAATTTTTTTTAGCACCTCATATAACTTTCTCCAAAACAGATCATATTTTTAGCTCATACAGAAAGTCTTAATGAACACAAAATATTGAAATGATTTCTTGCAACTCACCAGACCATAATGGAATGAAACCAGAAATTAGCAGCAAGATAAATAGCAAAAGTAATATGAATACATAGATAATGAACAACACACTTGAGAGTTGATAAGTCATTGAAGAAATCAGGAGGGAATTTAAAATTCTTAGATGAAATGAAAAACAACACATTAGAATTTGTATGTACAGAAAGAACAATTCTAAGAGAAAACTAAGGTCATGAGTTATTTCATAAAAAAAAAATGAGAGAGCTCAAGTAAATTACTTAATGGTGCATCTCAAGGTGTTAGAAAAACAAAAAGCAAAAATTAGTGGAAGAAAAGAAATAATAAAGATTAAGGAAGAAGTTAATGAAATAGAGACTAAAGAAATAACATAAAAGATCAATGAAACAAAGAGTTGATTCTTTGACAAAGTTAATAAGATTGAGAAGCCCTTAGCCAAACTAACTAAAAGAAAATGATGGAACCCGAGTTAATAGAATCAGAGATGGGAAATGAATTACCGAAGTTCAGAGGATCGTAAGTGATTATTTTGAAAACATATACTCCAGGAAATGGGCTAACTTAGAAGCAGATAAGTTTCTAGTCACATATGGCTTACTAAAATTGAACCAAGAGGATATAAGTAACTTAAACAGATACATGGTGAGCAATGAGATTTAAACAGTAACATTAAGAAAAGATGAAGAGCAAAGGTCTCACTGTTGGAATTCATAAGATGTTTAAGAAGAACTAAGGTCAATGTTCCTCAGGTTGTTCCATAAAATGTAAAGGGAAGAATGCTTCCATACTCATTTTATGAAGCCAGTGTTACCCTAATACCAAAACCAGAGAATACAAACAAAAATCATACACACATGTCCTTGATGAACATAGATGCAAAAAATCCTCAACAAAACACTTGCAAATAAAATTCAACAACACATTAAAATGAGAATTCTCACAAATCATGTGCAATTATTCTTTTCCCCCAAGCATCCTTGCTAGCATTTATTGGCTTTTGTTTTCTTGGTGATGATAGCTGTACTGACTGGGGTGAAACAGAATCTTAATGTAATTTGTATTTTCAGTTCCTGTGTGGCTATAAGTGTTCAATATTTTTTCTTGGGCTTCTTGAGCACTTAGATGTCTTACTTTGAAAAGCATTTAGCTCATTCACCCATATTTTGATTGGATTATTTGTTCTTTGGGTGATTTTTTTTTTCTTTTTAGCTTTTTATAATCTGGATATTAACCCTGTCAGGTGAATAACTAGCATGGATTTTCTTCTGTTCTGTAGGCTCTTAACTCTGTCCTTTCCTTTGTTATGCAAAAGTGTTTTGATACAATTCCCTTTGTCATTTCTTTTTTTTTTCACGTCATTTCTATCTTTTATTTCTCTAGCTATTGAAAGACTATTCAGAAAGTCATTGCCTATGCCTCTATCTTGAAGTGTTTTTACCATGCTTTCCTGTATAGTTTTAAGTTTCAGGTAATCTAACTTCTATGCAAATCAGTATGGAAGATCTTCAAAAAACTAGAAATAAATTACCATAGGATCCTGCTATCCCACCTCTGAGTATATACCTGAAGGAGTAAAAGGCAGCCATAATAAAGATCCGTGTACAACTTAGTTTATTGAGACACAGAAAAGAGGGAGTGAACTTCGAGGGAAGTACAGGACAGAAACTTAAGAGGTTTGGGAGTCACTTTCATAGGTGGGAGATGTTGTGAAGCGCTGGGGCATGGTCGGTAGGGAGGTATGTGCATCTAGTATACAGGAGAAGGCTGTAATTCGGACCTAGAAAAGGAACCAGGACTAGTTGGGGGAAAATATGTATTTAAAGGTCTGTTAAGATCATGAGTGTAAATAAAACACTACCACATATAAGTACATTAAAAAAATACATCCAATCTTTAAAATTGTAGTAAGCCGCCAGGCAGTGGTGGCTCATGGCTTTAATCCTAGCACTTGGGAGGCAGAGTCAGTTGGATCTCTGTGAGTTAAAGGCTAGCCTGGTCTACAAAGCGAGATCCAGGACAGGCACCAAAACCCTGTCTCAAAAACAAAACAAAACAAACAAAAAAAATGTAGTAAGCCATTGCTTCTGGCTGAGGAGGTCTGGGACAGGCTCACTGCAATGGTTAAGCCAATCCTACGACTAGAGCTGCTCTTGGGGAGCCTTGAATGGTTGTTCCATTTAGAGAAAGCACCATGAGCAAAACACACAGACAAGAGGGACAGCTGCGAGAGAGACAAGAGGAAGGGACACCTGCGAGACTAGTTTCATACACTGGAGCAAAGGCTTTGAGGACTCGAGTGACCTCCAAGACTCACATACTAGATAACTTTGGAGAACAGGGCAGATGGGCTGCAAGGCACTCGCAATTAGGATCTCCACGCAAGATTTGTCTTTCGAATATGCTCGGTTTATCCACTCAAACATTCCTTATATCATCCTAATATGAAAGTTAGACATCTCACCAAGCAAGGAACAGTTGTTCCAGCAGAAATACTGCTAGAGGGTTCCACAAGGCAATCGTCTCCAGTGAGGATGCTTCAGAAACTTGCAGGCTCGACCCATGTCCGCGTGAAGTCCTTCAACTGCGGCAGGTGGGGAGGACGGCACTGATGGACGTCCATGAAGTCCTTGAGAGCACAGGCCAGCACCTAGTGCTGACAAACAAGGACGTGTGAGTCTGGCAACAAATGCTGGGAATTCAACGATCACTGAGGCCAGGGCCATGCACAGAGTCTCAAGTCCTCTTGAAGATGAGAGACCACAGACGTCGTGTCTTGGGAGCCCAGCAGTGCAATCCTAGAGACCATTCCCAAAGTTCCGATTTTGTATCATTTCACTGGGCTTCGGTACCTTTGCGCTATCAGAGCTCAGGGCTTGGGGGTGGTTCACCAGCAGACCAACCTTGGGGTTAGTTCATTAGCATATCAAGCCTAACCCTTATCAGAGCTGCCTTTTGGCAAGCTCAGGCATCTTATTCCAAGTCACATAACATGGCTTTTTATGTTACACAAGATGGTTTCAGCTATGTTCCTAATAGTAACTTACCAAACTGCTGGCACTGCCTGCCTCCCTCACCCTACTGATTATTTTGGCAGAAAGACTGGCATCGTTTTCCCATTGATAACTTTTTTCGTGTTTTCAAGGTGTTCCTCTCTCTGTGACCTTTCATTGCTGCTGTCATTACAGGTCTGAGCAGTCCTGGTACCACATTTAAATGGTATGGAGTAAAGAGGTTTATCTGGGAATGTTTGGGCAGATGAAACTCCATGGGTAAATATTTCTTCCAGTTATGTCTTGGATGTGACCAAAGTTGTCAGATGTTTGTTTATGTTATGTGTATGAGTGCTTTGTTTTCATCCATACCAGAAAAGGGAATCAGATCCCATTACAGATGGTTGTGTGCCACCACGTGGTTCCTGGGAATTGAACTCAGGACCTCTGGAAGAGCAGCCAGTGCTCTTAACCTCTGAGCCATCTCTTCAGCCCCAAAGTCGTCAGATGATGCAAAAACAAATTGTTTCTTGTAGTTCCAGAATTTTCTTCTTTAAGGTATACGATTGTTTTTGCGTTTAAAAGAAAACAACACACACAAGCAAGTAAACAAGTAAGTCTTGCTGCTCGGCTCTGCTATGCTCTTGTAAAAACCTGGAACCCACATTGGGCAGTTGACAGTCACCTGTAACACCAGCTCCAGGGGATCCTATGCCCTCTTTTGGCCCCTGTGGCACCTGCACTGATGTGTACACACACACACACACACACACACACACACACACACACACACACACACACACACAGACACACACACAGACATGGTGATAATTAAAATTAAAATCCAAAAATGAACCCACCCAGATCTAGTTATGAAGCATTTCTTTCAAGTTTTGTTAGTTTTCTGTTTGTTTCACAGCTCATTTCTCTCTGCCCATTCCCTTATGAACTATAGTTTCAGTGGTTCGACCGAGTTGAAACCACATGGCTTATCACATGTCAGCAGGTAACTGTCAGTTATATCTCTTTGCCTGCTTGGATTGGATAAATTGTTCAAACCAAGGAAATACACACAAGAGCTGAGATTCGAACGTATATTGTTTCCAACAACATGTGTGGTACTGCAAACAAAAAATCCATGTCACCCGTCCTAGCCCAGTCTGAAGTCGAATAATCAACAGATAAAGTATTGGGGAAATCACACTTTTACAGAGTTCAACATATCAAACAACTTCAATATTTTTGGTCAATTCAGAATACTTGAAATGAAAGAGGAAGTGTCACAGGTATTTTAGAAAAGGTTTTCACAGTTGTCTGGGAAAATAAAGAAAAAGGATATAACAGAAGCTCTGGTGAGCCACATCACAGACTCTAGCCACTGTAGTGAAGGGGGAGCTATTGTCATGTTCTGAGAATGTAATCACAGTGAGCATGCAAACATGGTCACCTGCCTCCATCGGGTATTATTCCAGGCTCCAGAGGGAATGGCTAAAGACACGAACTGTCATAGCACATCCTCTAAGTGGGAGGATTTTTGTTGGGGCGTGTGTGTGTGTGTGTGTGTGTGTGTGTGTGTGTGTGTGTGTGTGTGTGTGTTGATATTTTGTGTAAGCTCTAACAAATAAAGCTTGCCTGAAGATCAGAGGGCAGAGCCAGCCACTAGTTAGCCATAGAGGCCAGGCAGTGGTGGCACACGCCTTTAATCCCAGCACTTGGATCTCATGCCTTTGCTCCCAGTACTTGGGAGGCACACACGCCTTTAATCCCAGCACTAGGGAGGTTGAGACAGGAAATGATATGGCTGGGTGGAGAAAGGAATTTAAGGTGAGAGAAGAAAGGAGCTCACTCCTTTCAGCTGAGGAGCTGGTGAGGTGAGGGGCGGCTGTGGTTTGTTCCTTTGTCTTTCTGATCTCTCAGCATTTACCCTGACATCTGGCTCTGGGTTTTTTTTTATTAAGACCAATTAGGATTCATGCAATAGGGGGGCTAAATAAAAGTGACCATTTCGGCCGGGCGGTGGTGGCACATGCCTTTAATCCCAGCACTCGGGAGGCAGAGCCAGGTGGATCTCTGTGAGTTCGAGGCCAGCCTGGGCTACCAAGCGAGTCCCAGGAAAGGCGCAAAGCTACACAGAGAAACCCTGTCTCAAAAAACGAAAAAAAAAAAAAAAAAGTGACCATTTCAATGAACCATAATTATATAAATTTAGTGCTATTCAGTACAATTACAGTGCTAGATAACTATTTGTTTCTAGGTGTCTTTTATTGTCCCAAACTGAAACTCTGAACCCAGTAAACACTAACTCCCCATTCATCCCTGCCCTGGCTTAGATGTGGTCATTCTCAGAAAAACTCATGCTGAAATATAATTTTTAAGCAACTGTACTGAGAGGTGGCAGCACCTCTAAGAGGTGGTTATGTCTTTTATGAATGATTGATGCTTTTCTCATGAGAAGTTCTTGCTCTGATGGGACTGGATTGGCTCTCTCAAGAGCAGGATGACATACAGCAAGGTCACCTCTCATCCCTCGATTCCTCTCTCTGGTATATAGCTCTTCTTTGCACAAACTTACTTCCACATCTTTGTCTTGTTGTGATACAGCATGAAGTTCCCATCAGAAGGTGAACATATTTTGGCACGGTATCCTTAGACTTCCAGAAGTGTGAGTTAGATAAACTTCTTATCTTTATAAATTTCCCAGACTTCATTATTTTGTTATAGCAGCAGAAAACGAACTAGACATATTCTCTTTCCCCAACCCTGGTAATCTCCATCATACTTTTGGTTTCTATGGATTAAACTATTTTAGTTATATCATACAACTGGAATCATAAAGTATTTTCCTTCCATTTGTGGTTTGTTTCACTTAGCAAAATGTCACTATTGGTCATCTATTGTATAGAACACATCAGAATTTCTTTCTAAGGCTGAATAATACTCTGTTGTTTGTAGATGCAACATTTGATTATTCATTCACCTGCTAATACAGGTTTGGACTGTATCCACTTCCTGAGCATTGTGAACAACGGCACACAGGAATCTGTTTCAATGTCTGCTACTGTATCTTTAGGGGTTAGAAAGTGAAATTACTTCATCATATGGTAATGCGATGTATAATATTTTGAAAAACTGTCAAACTGTTATCCATTCTACAAAAACCATTTTACATGTCTACCAGCAGTGTCCAGAGTTTCCATTATCTTCACATCCTTATCAACATCTGTTATTTCCTGTTGTGTAGATAGAGAGACATTAATATATCTGATAACCACCCTAATGAGGAAGTGACACCTCTCTGTGGTTGTCATTTGCATCACCCCAACGGCAAGTGACATTCAGACTCTTCTTATGTGCTTAGTAATACCTCCTCAAAATGTCTGCTCAGTCCTTCGCCTTTCCTGCTGTAACTGTTCCTCAGCTTGCGTGTTTCTTTCGAGACCTTGCTCTATGCCCCAGGCTGGCCTCACTTTCACAATCCTCCTGCCTCAACTTCCTAAGTGCTAGGATCACAGCTATGCCGTACCAAGCCCATTCCTTTGCCTATTTCTTAACTGAACTATTTGTCTTTGGAAGATGTGTTAAAGTCTCTGTTTTTAAGACAAGAGACAGTGTCTTGCTATGTAGCTCCTGGCTGGCCTCGAACTCATGATCCTCCTGCCACAGTCTTCCCAGTGTTGGCACTAAAAACATGTAGTACCATACCTGCCTGTCAAAAAGCTGTGACCCTGAACATTTCATCCTTCCATTTTCTAAAATCAATAACCAGAATTACTACTAATTCTCACTTATTCCCAAGTGAAAAATTTACCTTAAAGTTAGCTGAATGTTGCATATTAATTTTAGTCTAAGAATTCTGAATATTAGTAATTCTTGGGTTATGTTGACTCCTATATTTTGTAAGATTTGTTTTAGTTGCATTTAACAAAATCATTGTCCTTGTGACTAAGATTTAATGTATGTTTTGTCAGTTAAAAAAAGGTATTTGTTCCTGCTAACATATAATTCATTTCACCATGTCTTATAAACTTTTAATATCTAAGTTGTTTCTGAGAAATAAAATTATTTTGAGGTTTTTAAGGAGGTGTTTTATTTTTATCCACCAACTTGAGTGGTTTTAATTTATTGAGCTAAGAATAAGATGTTGGAATGGATGTAAACTGGTTATTCAGAAACTCTTACAAGTTTCTAACTTGAAAAATGTCAGGAGACATTGAAGAACTCTGTGACTGTTTTGATTTGAACTTGAAAGGAGGATGGCTTTTGGAGGGTTAGATCTTTATCTGTGCATGTGTGCTATGTAACTTTGCATAATGCAGCCTGGAAAACTTGAAGGTACCGTTATCTGTCTTTCAGTCTAGTTAAAGCTATTAGAACAGTTTCCTTACTTCAAGTTTCCATTTAGAAACCACCATCTATGTAGCTACAACCAGAGAGATTTTTAAAACATATATCTAAGTCAGATATGAATGCCACTTTGCTGAAACACTAAGCAGTAACATCCCAGTGGCTTTCCATCATAGTTAAGAATAAAATCCAAATCCTTCAACAGGCTCAGGAGGGCCTTCAGTAGTCTGATCTTGTCTCCCTTCTCTGGTTCTGGACCACTAGCCCCTCCCTACGTTAGAGTTACTTATGCACTAGACATCTGTACCTTCAGTAGTCTGATATGTCTCCCTTCTCTGGTTCTGGACCACTAGCCTCTCCCTGCATTAGAGTTACTTGTGCATTAGACATCTGTACTGGTTCTCATTCAAGAAAGTTCTCTTTCCAACCCTCAGTCCCTGTTTAACTCATTTCCTCATTTCCGTGAGGTCTCTAATAGCATATCACCTTTTCAAGGAAGGCTTCCTTGACCTCTGTGTCCTGCTTTCTGGTACACTTTCTTTGAGTCATGGTACCAGCTATGGTTTGGATGAGTATCTCCTAATGGTCCAAGTGTTGAAAGCTCAGTCTTCAGTCCATGATGTTATTGCGAGGTAGCAGACCATCTAGGAGGTAATTATGAAACACACTTTAGGAGGTTGGTCTTGGTCCTTTCTCTTTCAGTTTCTAACCAGAATGGGGAGAGCAGCCTCATACCCTATGTGCTCCTTTGCCACTGGCCCAACAATGGGCCAAACAAACTTAGAATGAAACCACTGAACCTGTAAGCCAAAACAAATCTGTACTGCTTTATTGTTCTTGTAAATTGCTTTATTGTAGGTATGTCTTAGTAACAGAAAGCCAACTAATACATCCCTAATACTAATACTACCACATGCTAAGTTATGCTGTTACACATTTACTTACTTATACATGCCTCCATTAATAAGTGACTTCATTTGGACAGAAACCACTCTCAGGTTTATTTTAGATACCTGGTAGAATGTCCAAAATCTTGTGACTATTTGGTAAATATATAGTGAATAAACAAATGCATAGAAAGTCTGGGGATTGAAAAGGTATTTTCGCCGGGCAGTGGTGGCGCACGCCTTTAATCCCAGCACTCGGGAGGCAGAGGCAGGCGGATCTCTGTGAGTTCAAGGCCAGCCTGGTCTCCAAAGTGAGTTCCAGGAAAGGTGCAATGCTACACAGAGAAACCCTGTCTTGAAAAAAAACAAAAAATAATAAAAAAAAAAGAAAAGGTATTTTCTTCTCTCTCTTGCTGTTAAAATTGTGTGTAATTAAAAAAAATCTGTTTGGTTCATGTTGCTGTGGCAGAAGCAATTTAAGGGGGAAAGACTGTGTGATGGTTGATTCTGGCTATCAACCTGATGCACCTGGGAAGAGGGACCCTCAGTTGAGAAACTGTCTCCATCAGATTGGTCAGTGGGTAAGTCTGCGGGATATTTTCTTGACTGCTAATTGATGGAGGAGGACCCAGCCTCCGTTGGGCAGTGCCATTCCTAGACAGGAGGTCCTGGGCTATTAAGAAAGGGAGCTAAGCATGAATCTTGGATGCTACTTCCACTGCTTCTGCTTGAGGCCTGAGTTCCCTCACTGGCTTTCCTTCACTGGACTATAACCTATGAGCCAAATAAATCCGTTCTTCCTCAAGTTGCTTTTGATCATGGTATTTTATTATAGTAATAGAAAAGCAAGCTAGAACCGGTTTGCTATAGCTCATGGTTTCTAATTATTTCATTTTTTCAAGCCAGGAAAAGAATGGCAGAGCCTCTAAGTTCATTAGCAGTAGGAGCTTTTGGCAGAGGCCACTCATCATACATATGGCATACCAAGAACTTTGGAGTGAGGCAGGAAGTATGGCCAGGTATAACCATTAAAGAGCTGCCCCTAGTAACCTATTTCCTCCAGGCAGACCCTATTCCCAAAGGGTCCAGAGCTTCCCAAAATATCACTGCCAGCCGAGGAATAAGCACTCATAACATGAGCCTGTGAGGTACATTTCAGATTCAAAACCATAGCATCCTTCTGCCCTTGGCCACCAATGGCTCAGGACCACTACAGAATGCAAAATACATGTATTCTAACTTAAATAATACCTAAAATCAAACCAAAATAGCCAACTCCATCAGTATGCAAAAGTCCAAAGTCTCTTCTGAGGCTCAAGGAAGACTCTTAACTTATAAAAATCAAGAGGAAAGCTATGTAATTCTGAGATACAGTGGTACAAAGTGAACATTCCTATTTTGAAAGGGCAGTGTGGGTAGAACATCAGGGATGGAATGAATCAAAGCAAGCTCAAAAACCAGTAGGACAAACTGTAAACCATATAGGTCCGTGTCCAGAGTCTGGGCCATACGGTGTCATGACATGATCCCCAATGGGCTTGGCGGACATCACAGCCCTGTGACACTGGTGTTTGGAGATCACATGGCTTCTTTCTTGGGATGGTTCTACTTCACCGTCTGGATTTTCTCACTAGTGGGTCCATATTCCTCACATTTTCAACCTCCTGTTGCAGCTTAGGCTAAACCTTACAGCTTTTGCAGTGTCCTTTCAGAGGCTACCTGCAGGGTTCTTATATTTTTGGTTGTGAGCCTAGCCTTTAACGGCTGAGCCATCTCTCCAGCCCCCTGCAGGGTTCTTATCCTGCCACATATGGCCAGAACTTCCATGCCTTCTTCTGAACACTAGTTGAGACCCTCGGTGACCCCATAACTCTTATAATTTTCGTATCTTACAAGCCATGATGACAGGAAGGCCCGCCCCAAGCTTGAGCAGTACCCATGCCCTTGGCTATGGCTGCAGAAGCCACTGATTGTGTTTGTGGCTGAACCTTATAAAAACACTTCCCTAGGGGGCATCTATAATAAAGATGTTTTCAAGGGAACAGACTTGAAATGTGTTTGCAGTTTTAACTCGGGGCCCTGCAGTGGGCGGAGTTTGTCTAATTCTTGAGATGATCTTTCCTACGATCCTAATGCAGTGCATTTGGGGTCTTTATAATGGTGTTACTCTTACTGATGCTCTCCTTTTTGCAATTTTGTTCTTTTTCAGGCCAGATTTCACCATTTTCAAATCTTTTTTTTCTCCTCTTGGTTTTCATCATAAATCTGGCTAAAAGCAGCCAATTATAACCATGTCACAGCTTGATTTCAATGTTGTTTTGAAATTTCATCTACCAACTTTATTAGTCAATTACATTTGAATCCAGTCTCACTCAGAACATCAGAATACGGACAAAATATAGAAAAATGTTTTTCTAGAATGTAACATGGATAACTTTCAGTCCGTTTCACAAATGGATCCTTCTTCCCATCTGAAACCTCACGAGTCTGGACTCTGCTGTGGCATCCTGGTCTTCTAGCTCCCAAGAGAACTGGTCATCAGGCTCTACTTACAACAGTCTAGGGTTTGTCTAGCTTGGATCTCCAAACTCTTCCCAATTTATCCTGCACATCTGTTCCAAGGCTCTGAGAACTACATGGACCCATTAGTCACAGTAACAATCACACTTGTCTTGTACCAGTTTTCTGAGCTAGGTTTGATCATCCATCCATCCATCCATCCATCCATCCATCCATCCATCCATCCATCCATCTATCTATGTATCTTTCGTCATTGTTACCAAAATACTTGACATAAACAAATTAAAAGGGGGGAAGGATTTATTTTTCCCCCTAGTTTCAGAATCTGTTCATTTCCCCCCATGCTTCTAGGCATGGAAAGTTTCATGACCTCTTCAAGTAGAACATCATGGCTGTGGGAGTGTGTGGCGGAAACACTTCTTTACCTCATGTAGGCTGGGGAGCAGAGAAATGGGGAGGAGACTGGAGAGCAAGTATACCCTCTTAAGGGCTGCACTTAACCATTTCTGCCAGCCTTGTCCTACCCCTTACGGTGTCAGAGCCTCTCCAAATAGTGCCACCAGCTGGGGAACAACCCAAAACCCGAGCCTGCTGAGAGTTATTGGCAGTTGATGGCTTCTTGAGGAGGGAGAGTCAGTTTTCTTAAGGGGTGTGGCCTCTCCTCTCAAAGGTTACCCATGCAAGTGGTACACAGCCACATATGCAGCAAAACTTTCTTTGAAAAAATTTACATTCTTTCATTATTTGAGTATGAAATATTTAAAGCAGGTATTTGATAGTAAGACAAGGCACTGGAATCAAGAGTCTAAGAAATCTAACAAGTGATTTCTCTAAATGTTACTATTTTATTTATTAAAATGTGTGTGTGTGTGCGTGTGTGTGTGTGTGTGTGTGTGTGTGTGTGTGTGTGTGCTTGAGAACAAATGTCACAGTACACACATAGAGGGCAGAGGACAACTTGTGGGACTAGGCTGTTTTCTCCTTCCACCGTGTGGGTCCTGTGGACTAAAGTCAGGTCATCAGGCCTGCCAGCAAGTGTCTTTACCTGCTGAGACATCTCAGTAGCCCCAAATGTTACTATTTTATATCAAAATGACAGTTACGTTCAAAGATAGTTGTGAAAATAAATTGCTTAGTAACCAGAGGACTTGCTTTCCAGAGCCCATGTTACCAGGCACTTGCAGTCATGTGCACAAACATAGGCACACACATATACATATATAATTCGAAAATAAAATATTTGTAAAATACTGCTTAGCAATCAATGTTCAAGATTCTTCTGTCTAAGCTTCATTCTGTTCAATATTTTGCAAGGGCTTTCATGGAGAGTGAAGGAAAGGTCCTCTGCTCTTCATGACTATTCTCCAGAGATGGCGAGAGAGGAGCATGTGTTTAAAGACAGAATTTAAATGCCACACAAGCAGTTAGTTCAATGTTTATAACTAGAGACTAACATTTGTGATCCATGTCGTCAAGTCTCCCACATCCTTTAATTAGCAAATGGATGTTCTGCTGTGCCCCTCCCCAAAACAACAACAAAGGAAAAACAGCTAACTTGATTAGATGTTACTTTCCCCTATTTTAAAGGCTTTATATTTTTAAGATTTTTACCTGTTCTTTGAGAATTTCATATATGTTCACTATGTTCACAATGTAATTTGACCACATAAACCGCGCCCCCCCCCTCCCCTCCAACTTCTCCTGTCCCCTTCCCAACTTTGTATCCCCTCCCATTTTTTTTCTCTTTACAAACCTTTCAGTCCAATTAGTGCTGCCCAAATGCACATGAATAGGGCTGGACACCAGAGCATGGGTAACCTTTGAGAGGAGAGGCCACACCCCTTAAGAAAACTGACTCTCCCTCCTCAAGAAGCCATCAACTGCCAATAACTCTCAGCTAGGGGTGGGGTCTCATGAGCCCCTCCCCCACCCATGCTGGACTGTTGATTGGCTTGATCTTATGCTGGTCTTGGACAGGCAACCACAACTGCTGTGCAGCTCTGTCATAAGCAGGGGACACTTTTATAACCTGACACAGAGAAATGAATCTAGAACCTTCATAAAACCTGCTGAGTATCGTTATTGTGCTTCCCAGGGCTGCTACAACAAAGGGCGAGAAAAACTGGGTGCTAAAAACAGCAGTTTACTCTACATTGTTACGGAAATCACAAATCCAAAACTGAGTTGTCACTCCCTCTGAATATCCTAGAAGAGAATGCTCCCACTGGGGCTCACAGTAAGAGTTTACTTGTATTGGAAGTTGAGGCTGTCACTTGGCCATTCTGGACTCCTAGTTAACTATCAAGCCCAGGAAGGGATGATTACGTTATCTGGAGTGACTGATCCCACTGGCTTCACAGCTGGAGAAGAAAGCGATGCAGGAGACTTTGGGACTCGTCTTGGTACGTGGTGTTCATAGATTCCGTGGGTAAACTACAACAATCCCTCTGAAAAGACTGCTGAAGGAAGAAGGTTTGGTCAGTTCACAAGGCAAGGAACCACTACCATCGAAGACATTCCTGAAGGCAAAGGGAGTATGAAGTGGTCATGGCAGAGACAGGTGGTAGTTATAAATAGTAGTCATAGGCATGTTACCAGATGCAGACACAAGAACAATAGTTACGAGCATTTTGACACAGGTCTGTACATCTTAGCCAAATATTTTCTACTTGTCTCCATCTCCTTCTTCTAGCACTGATTAATGGTAGGTATCCTTATAAGTTAGTATTTAAGTTTCAGAATAACAGGGAGGTACTCTAACTTATCAAGTGGAGAAATGAACTCAAAAAGAAGACACTGTAATCTCTTTTGGAGAGGGAGTGATCTGGCTTGGGTTGTGCTAGAGAAAGCTACACGTTACAGGAAGAAGTATGATTCTGCTGAAAAATAAATGAGTAAGTGAACGTGGATGTCAGGACGGCAAGTGTAGGGCTGGAGTGATTTTGTACTGCCAATGAGTGTTGCTAACTACGGCTGCATTTCCAAGACGTTGTCTCCCCCACCCCCATCTTATGGTTCTGGTCTCAGCTGCCACAGCAGACACTTGCAAGATTTGAAAAGTGGTTATGAAGTCATTACCTGTTGGAGGTCTGTGCCACATCCTAGGTGCCACTGCGACTTGTGCAAATGCCTCCTACTCCGTCAGCTTGCCTCAGTGTTGAGGAGCAGCAGCCAGGCCTGCAGTGTCTCCAGCAGCTCTGCACCCAGGGCTAGCTCCTTGGCTAATGGCACCAGCTTCTTCTACAGATTGGGTCACTGGGGTGAGACACAGTGAGGAAAAGACACAGGTTCCAGGTCTCTCTCATAGGTCACAACTTGTCCAAACCTGTTAGCTCTGTGCAGCTGACTTTTCTTCCCATCTGCCTGTATGCTGACTTACAGTGACTTCATACTCACTACTAGACATGGAGGCAAAGGCCTTCCATAAGCCTCTTTAGTTCCCCCTCCCGCTCCGGGTTAGTGGCTTTTCTACGAGCCTGTAATCATTCCTTCCTGACCTTACCACACCAGCTTCTCCATAGGAAAGCCTGTATTTTAATAACAAATCTCGATAATAAATCCTTTTGGTACCACTTTCAATGATTCTGCTTCTTTGATCCAACTCTTTATATTCACTTAGGTTTTTGTTGTTTTTTAAAATCTCACATGAGTGTTGTGGCTAACATCTTCTGGCAGTTTTAGAATCTGCATGTCTAGTTAAAACACACTGGACTATGCTCCATGATCATGTAAGTGTATAGATTAACTTGGTGGGTGGCAGGTTTTTTAGTAGGTTAAGTCTTTATATTCAGAGGACATTTTTTTCAACATCCAAGTCTACTATAGTCTACTCATATAAAAGCATCCTTTGTATGAACCTTTGGCTTCCTTTACGTTTATTTTTAGGTATCTATCTTTCTGTTGCTTTAGGTAATGGAATTTCTTTCATTATTTAAAGTTTCTCTCTGTGGTGGTTCACTTTATGTGTCAACTTGGTAAGGCTATAGCATCCAGGTGTTTGGTACAACACGGGTCAAGATGCTGCCAACCCTTATACTCTGTAAATTTTAAGCAGATTATCTTTATCAAAGTAGCCGAGACTCATCTATTCAGTTGGAGGGTTTAGGTTTCCTGAAGAAGCAGCAATTCTGTCTAAAGACTCCAGTATGGAAATCCTGCCTGCGTTTTCTGCCCAGCAGTTTTCTCTTAGAGGTTTCAGATCCCAGAATACAAAATCAACTCTTACTGTCTGTCTGTCTACTCCCCAGATCTCAGCTTTGGCAATCTTGAGCCAATCTCTTAAAAAAATCTCTCTTTAACACCCCCACCCTTTCTGGTGTTTCTCTGATGAACCCTAATGCCTCCCCCAAGAACACTGAAAACAAATGAATTTCTTTCCTTGACACACTGCATGGTGTGGTGGAAAACTTAGGGCTCTGAAGGCAGACCAGAGTTTACTATGACAAGTGACTTCGTTTTGGAAACTGATTGCTTATCTGTAGAAATTGGATCAAATTACTGATGAGACTACAGCGTTTCGTAAAAACACTGCATGGAGCATATCTGCCAGGATTCTTGGCTCAAAGAGGTATACTGTAATATACTTTGCTGGAGGGGGATATACTGTTCAGTTGCCTACTTAGTGGTGAATCTTATTATTTAATTAACTAACAGTTGGATATTATTAAATGTGGTATATTTTATTCAACACAAATTTACCAATACCAGCTTTGTGTAGAGGTACTCAAATGGTTTTTGTTGTTGCTTGAGATAGGGTTTCAATATGTAGTGTGCCTAGTTTTGAAGTCACTATGATGTCTGAGCTGGCCTTGACTCTCAACTCTTCATCCTGCTGCCCCAGTTTTCCAAGAATTGCAATTATATGTGTGTGCCACCATGTCCAACAGATGTAGAGTACAAGGTTAGTTCTTGGGACCTAGCTATGTAAGGTGTAGGGCAAGTTTGTTTCTATGAGTCTACCTCTAAGTCTGTTGTATGATAAGGATTTCCTGAAGAGTAAATGGGCAAAAGTACTCAGCAGAATCCCAAATGACATGTTTAACACATCTACTACATGTTAAGGGAATAACTGGGATTTCAGAGACAGTGAGACCAGGTCTTGCACTACAAGAGCTCAGTTAATGCTTCACCATCCAGGGAAGACAAATTCCACGACACAGTAGGTATCATATAACAATGAAGGCCAGGCAAGTGAAGATACATAGGGGGCACGCTGTTTAAATAGTAAGAGAATACACCTTTGTTCATTTATCTGATCATGTGTATTCGGTACTCGATTTATATCATCATTAAGCTCAGGCTCAGCACTGTACTTCCAAAGGCCTGCCACTTTGCCAATGATCTTCTCAAATAACTGGGAGACTAGATGCCCTGAAAAATGATCCAAATCCATTTTGTCAGCAGGGGAGAGCTTGCTCAGGTTGAAGAATCTGATGCCCAAAGAAAGCATCAGGAACAGTCAGTTCCTGCTGAAAAGCTTTGGCAGTTTGGGACAGAAACTTGGCAAAGAACAAGCAAATTATATCCTCGTTTTACCAAAACAGGTGAAGAGCTTTTCCTATATCCTAAACAGCAAACGCTAACAAAGAAGGGACGCGTTTGGCTAGAGGAACTTTCGGTCTCCCTGTCCCCTTTGTCTTCTCGATAGAGATCGTCATTTCTCATCTTTTTTTTCTTGGTGGCAGAATTTCACTTCTTTCTCAGCCTCGGTGTTTCAAAGACCCTCATCCCTCTGGAGTTTTTGGCCCTTCTCTCTCTGCCCTGCAGGCCCCGATGGCCTGGGGCCTCACCTGCCAAGGCCAGCCTCTGGAGCCTCGCCTGGCTAGGGCATGGACGGTGACGTAGCGGGAGGACCGTGCCCGCGAGGCCTGCTGACGTCACCGCCGCAGCGGTCTCCCGGGAAGCCCTAGGACGGGAATTCCAGGAGGGGAAGCGTGCGGTGCCCCGCCGGGGCGGGCCGAGCCGAGCGCGATGAGGGCGCCGGGTGCTTCGGGCTTTTGGGGAGCCGGGCGGACGGAACAGCGCCCGTCGCATAGGCCGAACAAACTCCGGGTCCGTGCGCCCGAGGATGCCCCGCGCCGCACTCCTGCGCACGCGCCGCGGGTTGCTGCGGGGAGGGAGCTGCGGGGAGGCGGGAGGGGCCGGAGCGGCGCGGGGCGCGGCGCCCGAGTGGCGAGGACGCAGGCAGCCTAGTCCCGGCCAGCAGCCGGCTCCCGGGCGCTGCGGCGGCGGCGGCGGCGGCGCGGGGCGCGGGGCCTGCGGCGCGGCGTCGTGACGTCACGGTGGCGGCGGCCGTGGTTGGCGCAGGGTCCGCTGCTGCAAAGTGTGAATTACGCCGGGCTCGCGCCGCCGGCGGCGGAGTGGAGTGAGGCTCGGGGGAGGGGAGGGGCAGGGCTCCGGCGGCCGAGCTGCTCGCTGCTCCGCGCCCGTGCACCGGGCCCCGGACCGCTCTCGCGCCGCGGAGCCCCGGGCCGGCTGCTTCCCCTGGAACGCCGCCCGCCTGTCCTGCTCGGTCCCCGGCCCCCCGGCCCCCGGTCGCCCGCTGCAGCCCCTTCCCGCCGCCAGCCGCGCGGAGGGCTGGGAGGCGTCCGCGGCCGTCTGCGCCGCCCGCCCGCCCCGCGCGCGCCTCGGTCCCGGGTCCCCGCGGCGCGGGCCCCTCGCAGCGCAGGGGCGGGCGGCCGCGGAGTGGCGGGCGCCGCGCGGAGGCAAGGCGGGCGTGTTCAATGGAAGTATGCTACCAGCTGCCGGTGCTGCCCCTGGACAGGCCGGTCCCCCAGCACGTCCTCAGCCGCCGAGGAGCCATCAGCTTCAGCTCCAGCTCCGCGCTCTTCGGCTGCCCGCATCCCCGGCAGCTCTCGCAGGTAACCGCCGCCCCGGGGCCCGCACCCCGCGGCTCAGCGCTTTTGTCTTCTCTTGGAGGGGACTCGGGCCATTGTTCGGGCACTGTAGGCTGCTCTGCCCATCTCTCGATGGACAGCCTTTCACCCTGGGCTGGGCTCCGTGTCCCCGGCCTCTGCGACCCCCCGCCCGGTGCTAGCCCGTCACTCCCGCGGCTAGCCCCAGCAGTGACTTTGTCCTCTGCTCCCCTCTCCGCATCTCTTTCGAGTTGGGCCCCTTGTCCCTTAGCGGTGACCCGGAGTACACCTGTTCGCCCCCGCCCCCTGGCCCTCCCCCCACACCTGCGCGGGTTCGCGTGCCTTGCAGTGCTGCGCTGGTCCTGAGGTTCTCAGAACAATGGGCCTAGATGTCCCATTGTGGTCCTCACCCGAACTGCTTCCTTTTAGCGGATGGGCCTTAGGTGCCGGGAACTCGTGTGCAAAGTTGATGGTTTCGAATCAGTTTTCTCATTTGATGAAGGAGTTTTTAGGAGAGAAACCACCGATGAGCATTCACAAGGACTTTGTTTCCGATGGCCCAACACCAGTTGCTCCTGAACATTTTTTATTTTTTTTTTCTATGAAGTCCTTGGCTCAACTCCGTAGTTGGGTTAATTTTGGTTGCCAGATTTAGAATAACGAGACAGAAGAATTTTACTTTGTTTACATATGAACCGGGTGCCCTCATTGCCTTCTGCCAGAAGTTCTGTGTTTATGAGGTTTACTTTGGGGATGGGTACTGGGGGAGTGTACTTTAGAGTCTCACACTTGCTAGGCTAGCATTCCAACCAGTGAGCCCCAGCCATATATGTTTTTGTTTGTTGTTTATTTATTTATTGCAGAGCCTTTCTCCACAGCCCTGCCTTTAACTCATGATCCTCCTGCTTCAGACTTCCAAGTAGCAGGCCTGAGCCATCACGCTGGGTCCCATGATCGTTTTGTAAAATAAAATATTCTAATTTTTCCTGTTACTTAGTATTACCATTTATGGCAGCCTATTTCTCTCCTCAATTATATTGTAAGTATCATGAGCAAGGTATTTTTTAATTTTATTTATTTATTTTTGATTTTTCAAATTAGGATTTCTCTGTGTAGACCAGGCTGCCCTCAAACTCAGAGATCCTCCTGGCTCTGCCTCCCAAGTGCTGGGATTAAGGCGGGCACCACCACTGCCCAGAGAGCAAGGGTTTTTTTTTTTTTTGTTTTTTTTTTAAACAGCTAACATGGACAGCATCTTTTAGAAACGTTGCTTATAGTAGATTTCCACTAGATTCTATTTGTTATCACCTTTTGTCCCTTTTCTTTGTTTGGCCTGCAAGGTAGATAGAGCAAGAGGTTCCATTTGAGTTTCTTTTGAGGAATTCTTGTTTGTTTAAAGTCAGACTCTTTCCTGATACAAGGTAGTATGCTAATGAATTCAGTGTAAAATACTAAGTGGGATTTCAAGTAATACTTTTGTTACTTACTTTGGAGGGTAGTTTGTGAGCTGTATTTTTATTGTTTAACATATTTTAAAGTGCAGAATTCAAGAGGTATTGAAGACTGGTGAGAAGGTTTTTAATAATAGTGTTTTTTGTTTTTGTTTTGTTTTGTTTTTTTTATTTTTCGAAACAGGATTTCCCTGTGTAATAGTCAGTCCTGGCTGTCCTGGAAGCCAGGACTATTTGTAGACCAGACTGACTTCAAACTCAGAGACCTGCCTGCCTCTGTCTCCCAAGTGCTGGGGTAAAGGCGTGCACCACCACTGCCCAGCTTAATTAAAGGTCTTCAATGGAAGTAACTTTTTTATTTCTAAATACTGTTGTCTTCCTCAGATCACCAGGCATGACAAACACCCACTTTCAGTCATGTATAAATAGTAAAGCAATGCTTTATATAAAGTTATACAGTATGCGTTAAGTGTCTCCGCTCCCTGAGGAGGATATGGATGAGAGGAGTATTCCAAGGGATGGAAAATAAGGCTGATCCCAAGAGTTTTACCCAGCGTCGTAATTAACCCACAAAGACCAATTTAAGCTCCATTTTTTTTTCTTTGCTCATTCCTAGACTAAGGGTATTTAAATGGGTATCGGAATTTTAAAACCACGATGTTGACACATAAAGCAGATCCTGTAGAATGACACCTGTTTTACCAGCTCTTAAAACTTGTAAACAGTTTCTAGGTCTCCAGAGAGTATGTTGGAACTCCTTAGGTTTGAGACAGAAATTTTTCATTAATGAATATTTTATTTCCTGAACAACATTGCTCAGTTGTTACAGGGATTATAAACTTACCCAGAGGCTAAGATGGGTATATTATCCTTATCAAGGCTTTGTGTATCAGTTAATAAAAAATTGTGTGTTGATACTGAGTACTTTGGGGGTAGATGGGGATATGTAATGGGGAAAAAAAGAGGTAGATAATCTTGGAATCATATTCAGAGCTCTTTGAAACAGGCCTTTGATTGACTCACAGGCTTCCATTACCCGTGAATCTTTAGTTCCTAAGCTTAAGGTTACAGAACTTGGCAGAAGTTTAGGTGGTTTTGTAATTTTATTTAAGAGACTTAATTTTTTTCTTCAGTTACTAAGTACAATTTTAATTACAATTTTTTTATTTTAAAATAGGTTCAAAACTAGCTCTCATTTCAGTTCTTTATTTTTCACCACAGTACAGGAGCCCAGTTCATGGTAGGTAAATAATAAACATTTGAATGAATGAATAGATGAAATTACCTCAGACTGAGCTGAGCATCAATTGTGAATAGGAAACAGTTGGAGATCAATGTAGAATAAGGGGTCATTATCCAAAATTTGGTTTCAAACATGTGATTGTGGACTCGAAAATGACCCAGACAACTAGCGGAAAAAGTTTTGAGCAGGTAGCAGAGGTGCTTGCTGCCAGATAGTGGAAACCTGACCGTCCGAGTTCAGTCCTCAGAACCTGCAGAAAGGTGGAGGGAGAGAACTGGCTCTGCATAGTTGTCCTCGGCCTCCACATCTGAGCAGTGGCATGGTGCCTGCCCCCCCCCCCCCATAATAAAATTTAAAACAAGACTCTGAGCAACCAAAATAGATTTGAACATCATCTCTCTCAAAGCCTATGAGGTTGAGCAAACTTTTCAGAGTAGCAGGAAATTTGAAATGGACTTACAAGCAGCTACAGGCCAATCATCCTGATAGAAGCACAGGTTCATAGCAGACCTACCACAAGAGAGGGATGGGAAAATTTTTTTTTCCAAGCTGGCATGATTTTTAAAGGCATTGTAGGGATATTTAGCTTATGGACTTAAGTGTTATGGAACCAAGTGATTATTAGTCAAACAATGCTGCACAAAATCAGATTTTCCAAGTTAAAAGATTTATCCTGTGGGGGAAAAAAAAGATTTGTGTGCCAGTTAATGTTTTGTGCTCAAAAGTAAAGCTTCCTGGAGAATTCACCTCTGCAACACTGGCCTTTCTTAGGCGGAGGCATTGGCGTTGCGTCTTAAACCAGTCATACGCTACTTTTTCAAACAACTAATATGAAATTCTTGAATTATTTGAAAAGTGAGAATAATAGATGAATCCTGTGTGTTGCCATTTTGGGTGCCTGTTACATAGAGGAGTTTAAACGTTAGTCTTTCAGAACAAAGTTCATATTTGAAAAGAAATAAGGTATAAGTTGTGCTGTATTCACCATTGGTGTTTTATATATTTATGGTTCATTAAGTGTGAGAGTTGAGTAGTGTGTTGATTGGGGTGCTGGGGCACTGCACTTGGGGGCATTAGTCGGGTTTGGAGGCTGTATGGGCTAGTTCTGTGTCAGCACGGCACAAGCCAGAGTTATCTGAGAACCTCAGTTGAGAAGATGCTCCTACCAGACTGGCCTGTGGGCAGCCTATGGTGCTTATTTTTGATTGATGATGGATGAAGAAGGGCCCAGCTTAATGTGGTGGTGCCTCCCTTGGGCTGAGGGTTCTGAGTGCTATAAGAAAGCAGGCTGAGCAAGCCATGAGAATAAGCCAGTAAGCAGCATTCCTCCATGGCCTCTCCTCCTGTTCCTGCCTTCATGTTCTGGCCCAGCTTCCCTGGATGATGAACTACATACAAATGAAGCTGCTTTGGTCATGGTGCTCTGCCATAGCAACAGGAAAGTAACTAAGATAGAGGCATAGGAACACAATTTATTTGGGTTAGAAATTGGAGGTTTAATTTTTAATTTTTAAAATATAAGCACTTTTACTGAATGAAGTATTAGGATGCAGAATATGAATATAAGCTATTATATATAGCCTCATTGTGTTGTCTCAGCTAGGAACTCACAGTGTAGTTCAGGCTGGCCTCAAATCTTTACGCTTCCTACATTTGCCTCCAATCTCATTTAGAATTCTTGTAGGTCGTGTGTCGTGTCCCGTCGTCCCCCCCCACGCCCCCCCCCCACAACCACTCCGTTTTGGTTGTTTGAGAAAAGGTCTTGGGTAGCCAGGCTAATCTTGAACTAATTATATAGCTGGAGATTTTTGATTTTTGAACTTCTCTTCCTCCTACTTTTAACTTCCAGAGTTCTGCAATCACATGTATGCAACATTATGTGAAAAATCTTTTTTTAAGACACTATTTCTTACAAAGAAAAACCCACACAAACTCTGGTAAACACAGAGCACTTATCAGACTCCTTATATTAGATGTTAGAAGATGTAAAGGATTCATAATTAAAAACTACTTTGAGATTTCTGTCTTAACAGTTTGCTTTCTTTTTTACCCTTTATGTACAGATTGAGAAAAAAATCTGCGGGGTTATTAGCATATTGGAGTTATCAAGTGTGATAAAACACCTAGGATCCTGGAATAAGCTGCGGTAACCCAGTATAGTCGTTGACCTTTAGGCCAAGGGCTGAAGATTAAGTAGGTGTTTCTAGACAAATTCGTAAACGTAGGGGGAAGGGGAGAAAGGGTGCATTGTGTAGACAGATCTATGAGTGCTGTTCATTAAGTCTTCTGTGATTTTGTACATGTTCTCTGAA